TGCTGCCATAGTTGGGCTGGAGCTGCCCAGTCTTCACTTTGCAGTCTTGATAGTCAAAAAGCATCTATGCAGCCTTGTGGGTGATGAACTGTTTTCCACCTTACAACTCCTTTCCCACAGAAAAGAGGAAATGAAATGCAGATGGAGCAACTAGTTGTTACTAATAATGGTTTAGTGTATTGTCCCTGCAGAAAGACAGCATATGGCTACCCTGCCAGAAAAGAGCCAGTGTGAAACCCAGAATGTCTGGTTATGAAGAAAGTGTTAACCAGCTTCCCTTGTGAGATAGTCAGGACAGTGAGCTGAACGGTGTTTGCTATACAAATGATTCCTTTGCCAGCCAACTGCTAAAGATTTAGGCTCCATAAAAACAGATACATTTTCTGGGAAGAGTCAGTGCAATGTGTTGACCACACAATGGGATAGCCTTGCATTACTAAGGATTTCTGTTCATGTTATCCAGCATAGTTTCAAATTTGTTTGTGTTTTCAGTGTCTTGGCAGCATTCATCTCATACACATGGTGTTTCTGTGTAAGTCTTGCCCATGCTCTGCTCGTCATGGCTCAGTGTTCGATTCTGGTGCTACTGAGGTTTCCATCTCTCTTCAATGGTAGATACTCAAACAATAAGAAAATTGCTTCCTGAAACATGGCAAATCTCTCCCTACTCTATAACTATTTCCATGGAAAATGTTAAATAATCTACATTCCCTCATTTCCCCAACCCCAATCCTCACAGATAAGACCCACCACACTGCGTACATTGAGACAAACGGTTTGTTTTATGGAACAAAATCCCAGGAGGATGCTTTACTATTCACTACAAGCTTAATCTCTTTAAGTTTATGGTTAACTATTTTCCTGTCCTGGGTATGATGATAAACTACATCCGTGCCCTGGGTAAGACGATAAACTACATCTGACAGCAAGGCCTCTGATCAGGTTTAGAGGAGTGTGAAACCATCTCTTAATTTCTGACCTGGGGTGGTAGCACCTGTTAGGGTCCCAGATATGGGCAAATAATTAACCACATCACAAACGGGTGTCAAAATATGTAAAAATAGGTTTTAATACCAGCAAAACATTATTGTAAAAAAAAAAATATTACCAAAAATAGATTTTTGAAGAAAAAATTTTTTACCAGAAATAGATTTTTCAAAAAGAATGTTAGCAACAATAAAAATTTTGTCAGCATTAAGGTTGATAGTCTGTAAAACAATAACCAAACCAAGCCAAAATAAACTATTATCTTGCCTATCTATTCACTGTGCTTCTTGCTCTTACTGCTCTTATAAAAGACTATCTTAAATAACCCTATACCTTGAGTGTCTTTGAGCCTTGTGTATGGTAAACATTAGTAAAGAAATTTCCACATAAGAATCAGTTAGTCAGTTATGTGCCATGTGTGATACACGCTTAGGCAATCATGTATCTTTTGATACATGATTGACGAGGCAGATGTTTTTTTCCCACAGTAGGTTGCCATTTCTTTGTGGTAGACCAGTTGCCATCCAAGGCTATAGAACCTGGTTTGTCCTGCTATTTACCCATAGCTGGTGAGAGAAGAGGATTCATACCTTTCCCAAGGCAATTAGCATGTAAGCATAAGAATACATGTTCTTAAAAATACCAAATCTTCACTGAAAATTATCTACCTTTGATTTGAGTTATCTGCCCTTGTCAGTGTGGTCACTATTGCCATGACAATGATTTATGAAGTTGAACATACAAATATCTTTCTCTTGCAACAGAAATAAAATCCAAAATTTTTACCTCTTAATGTTTCATTTGCTTCTGTTTATATATTTCATATTTTGGACCATTCTAAACATGGTTTGAGAAAACAGATTATTGACAGGTGACTATACTTGCTGTCTTATTTTAAACTATCAACCAACAGAACATTAATAGCTTCCTTGAAAACAGTATTCTATAACTAGTAACTTCATCATATATGCGTATATCTTGCAATGTAAATCTTTAATAATGCATATAACAATAAGTTTTATTGTACATAAATACAAAAGGCATTCTATTTTTATTTATCAGTATAATTTTGACATAAAAAATGCTACTCTCATCAAAGGAGAAACCAATTCACTATGATGTAAATGTCTAGAGTGCCTTGATCACAAGGACATTTACAGTAAATTTGCGTCCGGGCTCTTATAACATTTCACCATTCTTGGCCAATCTTCTATTATCACATTGCGGGATACCTACTTACAAAAATAATGGAAAGAAAAAGAAAAAAAAATATATAAATGAATTTGGCTAGACATAAAAAAAAAAATTTTGAAAATCCCCAGCACCTCTTGTTCATGCAAATGTGCAGTTGAACCAACATAACAAATTTATGAAATGGACAAAGTTCAACAATTATTTCAGACATATTTAGTTTATATGTTCTTTTTATAGATACAAATATTTAAGTAAAGGCTCTGTTTATAATAAACAGTATTAACGACATTTACGGAACCGTCATATAGCCTGTTGTGCCACAGAAGAGCATTTCAGTTAGCAAGTTCGATTTTACTGTTTTGCTAACTGAAACGCTCCTCTGTGGCCCAATTGATAAAGTATGACAGGCTATATAATGGAACATATAAGATACAAGTTCAATTCCTGTTGGAGGACAATATTTTCTATGAAAATTTCTCGGACATTCAGGTGGGTAAATGTCATTAATACTGTTTACTATAAACAGAGCCTTTACTTAAATATTTGTATCTATAAAAAGAATTTATAAACATAAAAATGTCTTAAATGACAAATTGTTGTAGAGTAGTTTTCACAGTGGAGGCTTGTATTTCACTAAGTCGGTCCAAAATTAGGTTCGATGTACAAAACGTTAGGAACTTGAAATAATAGTTAATGACGCAGCAATCTAGTTGTGGTGATTGATACTTCAATGTTCAACATCGATTGACACACCAACTCAACTGAGCCCACTGGCAACTGCTACTACTACTAATTATGTGTGGGAGAGTCTATTAACAATAGAATAGGTATGTTCCAGTATAACACAAATTTAGTTGAATGAAGTCCTCAAGGACAAAACATGTTGCAAGTAAAATTTTTCCACTTTGTCATACAATTTCCCAATATCAGTACAAGAGGACAAACTCTTTTACTTTAATGTTTCTTTCAATTCCTAGAGTTCCTTTTATACCCTGTGTTAAATACAATAAAAGCCTTTATAGAATTTTAGATGTAAGGGAAGTCCTGCATATTTATCTTTTTAACATCAATGTCCTTTTTCTTTAACAGAATTGTCACAGTGAATTTCTTTAACATGATAGTGATTCCTTACAAAGATAAAGAAAAATACTACTAAAAAAACAGCCATGCTAATTCTGTCAAGTCTTGAGCACAATACTTTGTGGTTCTTAACCTGATGTTTTCTCTTTTTTTATCATTGGCAAAACATTTCCATATTTCTAGATATTTTCATAAAAATGATCTCTTTCAGTTTCAAGGGTTAACTGAATTTTTTTTTATTTATGGAGTGAAAGATAAAGAGTTTGTGACAAATGGAATCATCTTAAAAAGAGTAGAAACTTGTTAGGGATATTTTATATATTGTTTGAATTACTCTGATTTTTATGCAGTTGTAATGACATACATATATGCAATAGATTTTTTTTATTCCAAGAATGCCAAGAGATATGCTAATGCATCATTTAAAAAACAAAAACAAAAAAATAAGTTGAAGTACATTATGAATATAGATGTAGCAAATAAGAAAAAGAAAGACATATATTTGACAAAATCCTTCCCACTCACAAACTGTCTAAACTTTCTTGACAAACTGAGGCAGTAATTGTTCCTGATTCCTTCTTTCCTAAATATTCTAATTTTCCTTCTCTTCATTTGCCTACAATAGAAACTTTACCACGATATTCCTATACACATAAAAAACAACATCATATCTTAACCCTATACCAGGCAGGTTATTTTGGAGACATTTTTGCATAACATAATTTTCATTTTACAGTTTTTTAAAAGTAAATAGACCAAATGCTTCAGTGTTGCTGCTACAATTCAAAGAATTCATGCAAAATGCACTTTAAAATATTTTGTCTGCAGAAGTCATAAGGTAGCTGCATTGAAAGGCTAAAGTAAGACAAAATGGAATTTTCTGAAAATTACAAAAATCCTCACCTCAGTAAAAATATGCTGATGTCAGCAATTTTGAAACAAAAGTATTCACAATATTCATACTAACTTTGAGAATAACTCAATATTTTTTTCACAACGGCCTATTTTTAGTAACATCTGGAATTTCAAATCAATACCTCAACCACAAAAGAAAGGGTATCAATTGAAAAAATACCCCGCCCCTGCCTGGGATAGTTTTAAATGAATGAAAGATAAACTTTGGGCCTGAAATGGTATAAAAAAACAAAAAAAAAAAAAACTGAGAATTGGATTAAGTGAAGTATATGATATATATACCTATGTTTAATAGACTAAATAAAAGCACTTGACATGCCATAACACAAAGACTTAATATATTTTAGAAAGATATTAGAATAATCTCTGTTCCTTCAATACGTGAGCAGTCATCACTCTCCACAACTTCCTGTCTGTTTTAGCTCATAGTAAGGTTTGTCATTTTGCTATCTCTCCTAATCCCTGTTCTGCTAAATATTTACACAAGCTAGTTAGGTCAGTTATTCACTTATTTCCTCTGTCTCTCTTGCCTTTACTATGACAATTAAATTCTCCAACCCATCTTTCCTCATTATGTGCCTTGTTTCAACTACCTCCTTCTGAAATAAGTGTCCTTTTTATTTTTATTTTCTTTAAAACTTTATTGTTCACATGTTCAGTCCATAGTATTCTCAGTATCCTTCTGTATTTGTCTCTTCTTTATCTGTGAGGCTATTGTCCAACATACACTGCCATATACGAGAACTGATATTACTTAATAGTTCAGCACTCTTTTCTTTGTTTCTAACCAAATTTCCACTTAGCACTAATAATGGGCTTACAGCCACATTATGTTGAAACACTATTTCCCATACGACCACTGAAGTTAAGCAATGTCAAGCCTGGTTAGTACCTAGATGAGTGACCATTTGAGAATACCGGGTTCTGTAAGCTTGGATATGTGGGTGGTGTAATCGATATGGGTTGGAATTGTTAATCAGAGAGCTGAGTTTCAATTCCCATTGGGTTCATTATATTCACTTTGGAAAGGTATGAATCCACCTCTTCTCCTCCAGCTATGGGTTAATTAATAAAACTTATACCATTAAACAATTATTAACTCAAAAAAAAATTCTTAGCATCTAAAAATATTTTCTGGCTTTAAATAACCTGAAAAGTGTTGATAAACCATAAAAAACAAATCAGTCAATCAAATACTAATTAGCTACACAGGCTTGTCTTTTGGATATATTTACATTCTCTGGAAAATAAATATCTAGAAACTACCATGATTACAAAATGAGGGATACGTTTATATTTTGTCTGTAATAAATTGAGCTCCCACTTTATAGCCACATTATAATTTCTTGTTTGTTTACTAAATTTTGATGAGGTATAAATCCACCTTTTTTTCCCACCTGTTATGGATTAATTAGTAAGTTATCACTAAACCATTATTATCTCCAAAAAAACTCTTCCAATCTAAAAATAGTTTCTGACTTTAAATAACTTGTAAAAGGTTGATATGCTGTAGAAAATGAATCAATCAACTTGTACTAATAAAGCTTAACTATTGTAAGGAAACAACAGGAGGTATGAAACTTCCTAATTATTAGCATATAGTGTGTGTGTATATATATATATATATATACAATAATTTTTTGATGGTGTGAGATTTTATCATCCAACTTCTGTATATGTATTGTATGCTGGTCTGGTCAGTGATTTTCATGAGAGATCAGCAGGCGTTCATGCAGCACATCTCCCCTCTCCGTGACACTGATGTCATCCAAGGCAAAGGTCAGTATAGCTTGGTACTGGCATCATCATCACAAGAGTTGCCAGAACAGAAATTGAACATGTCATTGAACTATCTTAGAGACTCCACCTCCAGATTTGAATTCAATGTTGTCTTTCTCCTTGTCTGGTTGCCAATCATGGCTACAAAGCCCAGACTGCCCTACTATTTACCCATAGTTGGAGGTTCTATATTCAGAGTTTTTCCTTCTCCTAGACCAGTTGTGTCTAGGGCTATAGAACACAGTTTGTTCGGCTATTTTATCCAGAGGAGAGAAGAGATGGATTCATACCTTTCCCAAGGGTATTAGTATGTAAGTGAATGTAATGAACTCAACTGGAATTCAAACTTAAATTTCTCAACACTTTCATTTATTATGGAATTTAGAACTATACTGGGTGAACCTGATAATTGGTTCAGCTTGGTTCTTCTTAAAAAAAAAAATAGTCAACCAGCACTACTTAGACAACAACAGGATGGAGATGGAGCAATGTATTTTTTTTTAATCATTTTACCACAAGCAAGGTGATAAAGTCACTAAGATACAAGGGGTGATTGATAGTGAAGGAAAATGAGAAAACATTATTGAGAAGATAAAACAATAATAAAAAACGGATTCCAGGAGACAGATGATGATTGACATTGCATTTAAATTTTGGAAGATTGTACTTGGCAGGAAAGCAAGAAAGTGAAAGAGAGTTCCACAAGTGAAAAGTCTGAGAGTGTAATGAGTTGGTCAGTCAACTTGACACCCTCAAAACGAGTGGAGGTGGGCAGGTGTGGAAACTGTGATTGGTAGCTGCCTTATTGGTGTTTTGCATGGATGAGTTACCAAGCTCTATGTAAAGGGCTGGAATGAGAAGGAGGGTAGTTTGTCTCAGAAGTGGAGACTGTGCCCGTCACTACTACAGTAGGGAGAGACAAAATTTTTTCTTTTTTTTTTTCTTTTGTGACTCATTTCAACACAGAGCGATGATTAGTTATATGCCTCAATTATAACAGTAAAGTGATTAAATATTACACTTGAATCCATGAAGACGTGGTACCAAAGAAGAAAGCTCATCAGAACAAGTGCTATGAAAATATTTTTAGAAAAGTCACAGGGAAGTTTGAGCTGGTATTGTTAGTAATAAAATCATAATAAAATTAGGAGTCTCTTCAAAGTTTGTGATGGATCCAGATAAATGCAGACTATTACGTTTTGTTGATTCCAATCTACTTAGAAGTGACTGAAAAACACTTTCCTCTCCCTGATTTATAGGAAGAAGCACAAAAATGCATGCTGGGAATTTTCCTAGCCAATAAAATAGGCCAGTTCTTAGTTTCATCTGACTCAGTCCCAGTCTGTCTCATCTTAAAGTCAGAACACTACGTTTCCTTGCCAGAATTTGCTCTTATGTATCAACTCCAATTCTTACTTTGTGAACTTTTTGCCATATTACTGTTGCTTTGCCTTATTACTGTTAATTTGCCTTGAATATATTGTTTGCTTGCCTTATACTATTTTTTGCCCTGTTCTTTTCTTTTTCTTGCTTCTTGCAAACTTAGTCAATTCTATATCTTTCTATATCTCTGAGATGAGGTATTATGATTACTTATGTCATTTACATTATTTGGACTGCTATCCTCATTGTCAATGCCATGTTTACAACGTTTTGACTATTGCACACTCCAGCCTTCTTCAAATGACTGGAATTTCAAACCAAACCCTTTATTTCGTCCACCGGTATAGAGTGTCCAAGTTTCATGTACCATGTTTCTTCTGGATGTGTCATGAACCCAAAACTTGAAGTGTTGTGTTAGAGGAAAATAACTGAGACATCTGGAAGAGGCATGGCACGTGGAACTAGAACAATCTACCCTGGTGGATGAAATAAAGGGTTTGATTTGAGATTCCAATCACCTGAAGAAGGCTCGAGCATACAACGGCTGAAACATTGTGAATATGGCAATGAAGATGAGGATAACAGACCGAATAATGTAAATAATATAATTAGTTAATTCTGTTTGTTGGACAGTTCTGTTACTTATTTTGCATCTGACCATGGCTACTCACTCTACAGAGACAAGATGTTATTTGAGTTTGCTGATAAATTTTAGGCCACAGATTATGTTTTTACCAAGACAATGGTCCTTCAATTTGTACAAAGCTGATTATCGTTCGTCTTTGCAAAAAAGGTTTTGAAGATACTAAATTAATGTAATGGTTCCCAGTCATTCCAAATAGAAAATTTGAGATAGAGATGTGAGATCTGAGAAGAGAAAATGATATTCGAGGAAAGAAGATCTCTAGGAAGTAATAAAAACTACTGCAAGTCGTGTTAACAAAATCAATGAACAAAAGATGAAGGCATAGACGATGTCAAGTAACATAATAACAGAGTAACAAAATAACATAATTAAACAATGTAAAATAATAAAATAATAAATTATTCAAGTTCAGCGAATGTCAGGTATCATAAAATGGTTTCTTAATTTTAACACCTCCAAAATAAAACTGCTCTCTTTTAATCGTCTTAGAGAGATTTTTTTTTTTTTTTTTTGGCTTTCCATCAGCATGGCTGATGCTAACCTACAGGAGTGTGACTCCTTGTGTTTTGCTTTCCACTAACATAAAGTGGAAATATTATATTAACTTAATTGCTAGGTTGCTGCTCAAAAATGGAGTTTGCTGTATTGTGCTAGAAAATTTTTCCAGCCAGAATATATCCACATTTATGATGAGTATTGCTGTCATCTCTGGTTTGGTGCTTCTACTAAGTATTTAGAGATTCTTCATAAAATCCAAAGTATCTGCAATTTTATCAGTCCTGATCTTGCATATTGGCTTCAGTTACTTTCCCACTGCTCTAACATAGCTTCTTTATGCCTTTTCTACAATTATTTACCATGTAATTATTCTGATGAGCATTTTTCTTTGGTACTATAAGAATGATTGACCAGGGTTAAATGTAAATAAATGGCAAAACTGTTCAACAAATGGAAGTTGTGGAAAGCCATGATCACCCACATTGTGAAATGATACATCACATAGAAGAATAAAAACTCTTTCATATATTTATCAATCATTCAAATTGTAAAATGAGTGGCCATGGTTAAATGTAAATGAATGGTAGAAGTGCCCAACAAACAGAATTAACAAAGTTTGGAATAAACAACAAGAAAAAGAAAACAAAAAAAAAAACAGCAAAAAATATCAGAAAACAAGCAAACAATATATGCAAGGCAAATTAACAGTAATAAGACAAAAAGTTCACAAACTAAGAATTGGAGTTGATACACAAGAGCAAATTTGGACAAGTGAACATAGCATTCTGAATTTAAGACAAAACAGACCAGGACTGAGGCAGAGGAAACCAAGAACCAGCCTATTTTATTGTCTAGGAAGAAATCCCAGCATGCATTTGTGTGTTTCTGTCTATAAATTGGGGAGAGAAAAATATTTTGCAATTATTCCTAGCAGGATTGAAACTAACACAGCCTGAATTAAGCTGTAATAGAAAACAATTAATAATATTAAGATGAAAGTAAATAAATTTCAGAACTCTCCAACAGAGTTGACAAACAAACAATAACAAGAAAAAGAAAAGAACAGGGCAAAAAATAATAGAAAACAAGCAAACAATATATGCAAGGCAAAACAACAGTAATAAGGCAAAAAGTTCACAAACTAAGAATTAGGGTTGACACAGTAAATTTGGAATGTAGCATTCAGACTTTATGACAAGACAGACTGGGATTGAGTCAGATGAAACCAAGAACTGGCCTGTTCTATTGGCCAGGAAAAAAAATCCCAGCATGCATTTGTGTTTTTCTGCCTATAAATTGTGTTAGGGGGCAAGTGTTTTGTAGTCATTTCCTGTCAGGATTAGAACCAAAATTTATGAATTTAAGTACAGTATGAGATTAGAAGCGGAAGCATGGTGGAGTAATGGATATCAACTCAGATTGAGGAACTGGAGAGCTGAGTTTGAATTCTAGTCAAATCCATTACATTCAATTATGTGCTAATACCCTTGGGAAATGTATAAATCCTCTTCTTCCCCACCACCAGCTATGGGTAAATAGCAGGACAGTCTGGGTTCTATAGCCTTGGCTGGCAACTGGTCTACTGCAGAAAGAAATGGCAACCTACTGTGGAGAAATAAATCTGC